CTAAAAAGAAATAAATAGAAAAATATTTTCATTATTCCTACCAAAGATTGAAGTTAGCACATTGCTCAGTTCATATCAAAAGAAATAGAACAAAGCCAATCTCAGTAAAATTGTAACTTCAGGCATGCTTGGTGTCATGATTCATTTATTTCTCCAGAATTCGATATTGGGATATGCTTGTATTTCAGACTATACCTCAGTTTGAACAATAAGTACAAATCTGAGACTTTGAATTCTTGTTAATTTTTATAAACTTAAGAACTTAAGAAGCAAAAGAAACAAAACCAATTCCTATGAGGTCAGACAGATCTTCATCACTCCCATACCTTTTTCTATTCATCTCAGCACCAATCTTACTGCTTTACTGGATCCAAAATTCGATGTAATAGCTCACAGACTACACAGAACCATATTGGGGAAGTCAATCAGTTATAACTCAAATTAATGACAGAATATAGTCAAGACAGCTCACAAAATGTGCACACAGGCACCTCAGCCTCAAGCCTCACACCTCCAGGCCAGTGGTTCCTGAATTCTCAGACCTGCCAATATTGATTTCTCCCCCACACTCTGCAACCTCCCAGATTGTCCAGTAGAGTTCTCAATTCTGCCAATATTGACTTACCACCACCCCTACCCCAAAATTGTCCAATAAAGTTCTCAGTCTTATCAGTATTGGCTTCCCCCTACCCCGGAAGGTCTCATCTCACATCAGCTCTTAGTTTGTCCATGGCTGCTGCTACTGTCTCAAAGCATGTTCTACATTTTCATACTTCTTTCTCACTAGGGTAGGGAAGATCTCTTACCTCTTCACTCACAGAGGAAGATATGATCTCTACCACTTGTTCTTGTCAACAACTTGTCAACAGCTCTGCCACTTGTACCATTGAGTCTACTCCATCTCATCGCTACCCTAGGTGTAACATCTCTGAAACCTGCTCTGTCTTGAGCCAATTTGATTGTCTCTAGCACATCAACCCCCATTATCCCAGTCAGAGTCTATCCATCTCATCCAAGGTCTTCCTTTCTTGCTCTGTCCCTCCACTCTCCCAAGCATTGGCATTGCAATCCTCCATCCACACAGTCAGCCATCCACATTTAAATAATTCTAGAAAAGTTATATTGAAAGTTAGACTCCATAATAGACAATAATTAATGAAGGCCCTTAAGCAGAATACCTTCATTCCAAGATCTAGCCTCTAGTCAAGCTCAGTCCTCAAGTAAATAAAGTTGATGAACTCCTACTCTCTTTGTTTAACAGGGAAAAGGAGAAATGTTCTCAAAAGGAATTTATTATCTCCCAAGACATCTAAAGTTTTTCCATACATATTTAATAAAAATCACCAGGTATTGCATGACCATATAGCCAAATGCCAAGACAGGGGTAAAGGCAGTAGAAATATATTGCCATAGCTATAGAAATATTAAGAGGCCTGTTGGCACAGTGATCAGATCGCTTGGCTGCCAACCAGATTGTTAACTATTCTGAAGCTACTCCTGAGGAGAAAGCTCTGATGGTCTGCTTCTATAAGATTTGCAGCGACAGAAACCCTATTGGGTAGTTCTACCCTGTTATATAAAGTTGCTAAGAATCAGAATCAGCTCAAAGGCAATGAATGAGCTTGGTTATTTTGGTTTGTAGAAAATATTGACATTAGTAGACAAGAATGGAAACTAGCTATGACTAAGATGTTTAAGAACATAGAGAACAAGGGAAAAAATGAGTTTGAGAATAAAGCCAATAATAAAAACCTTACAAGGAAACAAAGAAAAAGGTGCATTAGTTTTACAAGAGCCACAATTAAAACCTGTGGTTGATCTTTCAGTATTTTACATTCAAAACTACAGAAGCCAGTAACTTCTTTGTATACCTTTTCTTGTTTTATCCTATTCACTTGGTAGTCTTATTCTTTTTTTAAAAAAAATACATGACCTAAATATATGCCAATGCTATTCATGTATTTTGATGTTATGTTGTATATGGTAAAATCTTATAAAAAGCAGAAATATTCCTACATATAAACAAACTATTCCATTGTCATTCAACAAGTAGTAGTTTGTAATGCCCTTGGGCTTCCCACCCCCACAAAGTCCTTTACTGATTGCCTCCTATGATAGATTTTTTTTATAACCCAATCATCTCATTCTAAGTAGGAACATATGACCCTTTCCTTAACAGGTGACAGCTTCTCTTTAGTTTATTAAATAAACAAAAACATATGTGTTCTATGTCTAAGTAGTGTTGGTTTGTTTAGGTATCTCCAAAGGTTCAGATTCAACTCTCTCTACGGAAGCCACCGAGGAGCTATTTAAACATCTTGAATCTCACAGCATGTCTCCCTCAGATGTATTCATTCTGGATCACTTGAAAACACTGTTACTTTTGCAAGATACTGAAAGATTGAAGAATGCTCTGGAGATATTCCCAGAGCATTGCATGATGTCTTTTGGTATGTACTTAAGATACTCTTTGTCAAGGTTTGCCTCTGTAAACTTACATTTTGCCAAACAAAGAATGCATCAGAAAATATAATGATGCACATATGACTTAGATGAATAGGGTCCTACAAAGGAGTATGTGTCTTGTGTCTCCTGAATGTAAATATATATCATATAATATATGCAGAAATATATATATAAAATTTGAGTTTTCCAGCCTTGTGAGACATCAGATCTTGATAAGAATAAATGGAAATTAGAAAATTTGTTTCTTCTATTTGCTAGATTTGAAAAGCATACATTTTTTCTGTCTTCCAAATATCTTAATATGACTTATTGATTGAATCCCTGCAATTAGGCATTTGATTGTTATGATGATTTTTTTTTCTTTTGTTTACTTGCTACTTAGTCTTTGCGGAGTGCCTGCCCTTTGCAACCAGGGTGTTCCTTAGAGGCAAGGATGTTGAGACTTTGTCTCACATACTTTGTGCATGTTGTCAGGAGGGACCAGTCTTTGTGAAAAAGACATGATGCTGGGGAAAATAGAGGATTGGCAGAAGAAAGGAAGATTCTAACAAGATGGACTGACACATAACTGCATCAGTGAGCTTGAGTATGGCAGAGGTCATGAGGATGATGCAGGAGAGGACAAAGTTTAGATCTTTTGTTCATAGGGTCCCAGTGAGTCGTAGTCAAGCCAGCAGCATCTAAGAATATACAGACAGCACTGGGTTTCAGCTGGATCCTAGTCAAATATACTCAGTGTCTTCCCAGCTTCCTGTTCAGTGACATCACATTCATGGCTGGAAATAGACCATGGTGGGAGTAGTTAAAGTTTACTAAACCTGGGCAGCTTGCATTTAGGCAGAATAGAGTTTACTGGGAAATAATCTTACAGGTCCACTTCTCTTTGGATCCTTCAGAACATCTGCCTGGTATCTCAGTGCCCAGGATTTGGTAGCTGTTCAGGTCTCTCCTAGCAGTGGATCCCTAGGTCTGTGGACCCAGTCTACTGTCTACCCTGAAGTGAAATTTTAGCATCAACAACAGTAAATAAATTTTCTAAAGTCAATCCTGGGATCTAAAGTAGACTTGGAACGATTGGGAATCAATTCTGCTTTTTTTTTTTTTTAAAGTGCTTACTTTGTGCTCTCTGTGCTTAATAACGTTAGTGTCAGTAGAAGTCCATTAAAAACTGAATCCTGACAGTATTTGAGTAGTGTCTTTGTAAGTTATATAAAGCATGACATTTGAGGTGACTCTTTATTCACAGCTATAATTCTCCCATGAAACAGTAAAAGGGTTGGCAGGTAATATCAGAGGCAAACTATGTACTTGATAGTTTGCAGTTAACTATTTTTGGCATTCATGAAATTTAAATGCTATGTAATCATTATATCACTTAGGATTTACTATAACTTTTTTTTTCTAATTCATCTTTGAAGTAACCTTCCATTTCCACTTAATGTCTGTTTGTATATGGTTTTCCTTTTCTTTTTTTTTAGGGGTCAACATAGTTTCTTTATTAAACTGCAGTAGTCAAGAACATCATCTAATGCTTAAACTGTTCCAACTCTGAGAGCAAGCAGAGGTTGGGTTTATATACAAAGTTTGGGCATGGGGGTTACATGAAGTTCACTGTGGCTGGCAACTGAGATTTCTTCCCCTTCAGGAGTTGTTATTGTTTCCGACTTCTCATGGGTGTCCAGGTCCTGGGCCAGGTACAGAATGTAGTCAGGAAGTGGTAATCAAGCTGGGTCAGCTTGTTCTAAAACACAAAAACTCAGTAAAACATATTATTGTCAAACTTATTGAGACATACATTTCTTAAAATGCCTGTCAGAAAAAATGACTTCTCTAATGCTAACATATATAATGGTTTCCCTAATGCTTAACATGTAAGCTGCTACTACACTATAAAGCAGTGCTTTGGCAATGTTACTGTGCTTTGGACTGTAAAACTCATAGTGACAGTATTTGGGTATTAGGACACTTGCTGATGTTTAGGGCCCAATGAAGGAAATGCTTCTTAATCTTCATGAAAAATTCTCTAATTTTTCTGATGCTACTCGATACAATTATTTCCCTTCTCACCATTTTTTTATCACTATAATTCTGTTAATCTAGAATTAAAAGTTTATGTTCATAATTTTATTTTTAATTTTAATAAAAGTTTAGAGACTTTGGATTTCCATTCATTCATTGTTGCACTTTTCCCTGAGCCCACCCTCCTCCTCCTTTGTTCTTCTCTTTAAAAAGTAAAAGAAAAATTCTTTCATTGTTATACAATCCCTCTGCACAAGTCCACTCCACTATGCAGCCTTCGTTCTGGACTCCTGTCATGACAATAATACCTAATCATATATCCTTTTTAAACAGTTCTCACCCTCATCAGTTTCAAAGCAGTATGTATGTAGTTTTCTTAAAGTCAGAGTATAAACATGTAATATTGTACTGAAACTGTATGTAGTTCTGATAAATTGTGAGCCTTGGAGGACTCATAAACAAGTAAAATACAAATATTCAGAATTCAACCTCCTTTGTTGCCATATTTTTTATATCATGTCAAAACGGAAAGTTTCAAAACTCATTGCTATCAAGCCAGGACTAAGTCATCCGTGATTCTCTAGTGGGTTTTTTAAGGCTGTAAATTGCATAGATTGCCCATTTTTCTCCTGCCAAGTACCTGGTGGATTCAAACCTCCAGAGAGGTACAGCCTTTGGTTTAGCAGTGTATTTCTCTACAGACTATACCTGCAGAGCTCCCCATTAAGGTGTGGTATGTCACTACCAACATAATGTTATAATCACATTGCATTTTAATGGATGATTATTTATTTAATATTTACTTTAAATTTAAAATAAAATAACAATTCATTTTTTGTTTTCCAGATCATGCCAGAGTAATTTCAACTTTCTTTAACTACTGGATTACAGATATTCTTCCTGAGAGAAATAGTGAATAAAGACAGCTTTTCTGTTTAAGAAGAATTAAAATTTAACAGCAAAGGAAAATATAAAATGAACTGAGACTTAGTTTCTATATATAAAGATGATGACATTTCTTACTTTTTTTCCTTTGTAACCCAAATCCTGTGAATGTTAAAGATACATGTACAATTTTATTTATTTGTGTGTCTGTACTCAGGCTAAATGAAAAATATGAGATAATAGTAATACTTTTACTTATTTGCAATTATAAATGCTTTTAACTACTAAGTATAGATTCTGTATTTCCAATTGACATAAGAATTTAAAATGGACTTTCTATTCAATTGAATAAACTGCAATTTGAAGATGTTATATTTTTACAAAGTTTTAAATCACTCTGTATCTTAAAAGTCCATATTTTAAGAACATTTTATAGAAATTAAAATGTTTTGACATAAGTACATTATAATTGGATTTATTTCTTTTAGAGAATGAGAATTTTTTTTTTCCTGTTGGATCCTTCTTTTCATCTAGGAAGTGGTCATTGTTATCTGTTCTTCTCATTGCCATTGAATTGGAATTGTCTTATAGTTGACCCTGCACTGAATTTCAAAGGCTGTTAATTGTGAGAGAAGCAGTTGCCATCTATCTCCTGTAGAGCCACTGGTGAATTTGAAATGCCGGGGCGTGCAGTCTTTGAATTAACAATGCAATTCCCTATGGACACCACCACCACCAGAGCTCCCTAATCTCTATTCCTATTGTTTCTAAAACACATTTTCTGTCAGTGCAAACCTTTAGGAGAATGCTGGATCTGTCCATGAAAAGTTTTTACATGTGCATGTTCTTTAGCCCTTCAATTCTAAGAATTTTGTCTTAATACTCAAAGAAAAATGCATCCATAGAAGGGTTCGTTGCAGCATTATTTTGGGAAATAAGGGGGTAAAAAATGCAAACTACAAAATACAGCTGATTGAGAAGAATAGACATTCTGGAGCACTTAATTATGTTTATACAAAATCCAGACCAAGGAGCTGTTTTCCAAACAGCAAGAGAACACTGAGTGGTTTAAAATCAGGAAAGGTGTAGGTAAGGGATGTGTTTTTTCCCCATACTTCTTCATCTGTATGCTGATCAAATCATTACAGACCTTGGACTCTATGAAGAAGAGTATGGTATTGGGATTGGAGGAATGTACAGGATAGGACAAAAGAAACAATTTGTTACACTGAACACAATATTTTTAAGATTGTTGATGTACTTTGTGTACCATCAATTCAGAACCAACCCATAGCTGACCCTTCGGCGGGTTTTCAGAGGCAGTTTTTACCACATGGGAAGAGACTAGACTGCCTGTGGATTCCAGCCATGTGCCTTTGGGTTGACAGTACACCTCCTTACCACTAAGCCACCTGAGCTCCCTATTCTTAAAATGAGGAAAACCTATTGCTAATGAAAAATAAAGGGAACTTTAGTGACCAAGAGGGGAAGACCCTCTATGAGATGGATTGATTCAGTGACTGGGATCATCGGGATGGGAGTGTCAGAGACAGTGAGATTGGCACAGGACAGAGCGGAGTTTAGGGCTGTTGTACATAGGGTCGCTATGATTCGCAAGCAACTCAACGGCACATAACAACAACAACTATACATTCCCAGTATTTTACAGTTTAATTATTTTAGCTCTTTTTGTGTGTCCTTGTATTTATTGTAACTTAAAGCAACCCTACATGACAGAGGAGGAACCATCATTTCCTAGGTTGTGCTTTGGATTTGGGTGTTTGTTGTTTGGATTTTTTTGTTGTTTTGAGTTGAGTTTGACTTGGGTGGGTTTTGTTTTTTTGGTTTTTTTTAGTAATTGTTTTTGTTGTGATTTGAGCAAAGTTTTACAAAACAAATTAGTTTTTCATTCAACAATTCATAAACATTTTATTTAATGACCTTCATTTCAATGCTGGCTATGTAGTTACACTTTTCCCACTTCCTCCTTACAATTTTTATTTCCATTAGTCTCTTTCTATCTCTCTGTGTCTTCCTTTCTTTAATGATTCTGTGCTGATCATCCTCATAATTGGATGTTTCCTTTCCATTCACCCATTTAATATGTACCTATTTATCTATTTATTGATGTTTCACTCCTTACTTTCTCCCTTCAATGTAACTATTAGACCATAATTTTTCTGATTAGATTGTCAAGTTTTTTCCTCCCAAAGATCAACTGCTGATTTTGAACCACCAACCTTTTCTATTAGCAGCCAAGCTCTCAGTTGTTGCACCCCCAAGGGCTCCTTTTAGCTCTCCTGGGGTTTTTTTTTTGGGGGGGGGTGTTGTTTTTGTCCTTGTTTTGTGTTAAAGCGCTTCAGTCTGTGAAAGTATCTCCAGTTTTGCTTTTCCTCACTCCTAGCCCCTTTTACCTCCACAACCTAGTTAATAATTAACTTCAGTTATTCTTGTTTTGCCTGTGGTTAACCCTAAGGTGTTGAAAGCACTGGGAAGAACTAACCTGGTAAGTGCTATTCTATCTAAGACCAAGAACAAAGAAAAATTAGATTATAGGGGTTTTATGTTTGTGGATTTTATATCAGGTACATGTGATCACTGAGTAACAAATATTAGATAATTAAGCTTATTCCTCATGCTCATATGTTCAGAATTGTGCTGCATGTTTGCTTGCTTCATGGTTGGTTTTTAAAAAATGTTTAATTTGTGATTGTAACAAAAGTTTACAGAAAAATTGGATTTTCATTCATTGCTGCAGATTTTTCTCCCTCCCCCTTCTCCTCCTTCCCCCATTTCACTTTCTTTTTAAAATATTCATTGTTTCATAATTTCCTTCATCCCGTTTCTTCCCCTCTTCCTCCCCAAGCCCTCTTTTCAATGTACCTCTTATTCTGGACCATTGTCCTACATATAATGCCTCAACTGTGGCTTTCCTGTGTAGCATTTGTCCCCTTCTCTCTTACACCTACTCCCCGTTGGGGACATCAAGAGGTCCTGAAAGTTATCACAGTAACCATCTAGCTGTACCTTTGCTTTCTCAGGTACACAGTGCCGCTCTACAAAATATACTACAAATGGATGGCTTTAAAGAGGAAATATTTATTTTCTCGCATTCTGGAGTTTGAAAGTCCAAATCAAGATCTTAGCTAAGTGTGTTAATTCTTTTATAGGGCTGCTTCTAGTATTTGGTGACTTCTAGCATTTGGTGACAATCTTTGTCGTACCTGAGCTTGTGTATTCATCAGTTTCCATCTTCGTTCGGCACTTCTCCTGATGTCTCTAAGTCTTTTGAGGTCTTTTTACTGAGACAACGGAATAGTTTAGGATTCAGACTACTGCCATATGTCCTCATTAACAAGATGACCCGTATTTCCACACAGTGTCATATTTACAGGTACAGACCTTAGTATGGAATAACCTCTAAGGGCACATTTTCCATTCACAGCACATATGGATTAGTTGTCTGATTAAACAAGTAAAACCTCATACAAGCACTAAGGTTGATTTATATTTCCCTGAGAAACAACATGTTGTGCAGTGCTCAGGTATTTCTCTGGATAGAATTCAGTAACAAACTCATTTTAAATAACTGAAACCATTGGTCAGTATATAAGTTCCTCTTAAGCTTTTCTCCAAAGGTGGAGTTAGTGGTAGTGCTTCATCACATAATATTCATTGTAAACTTTTTTTTCAGAATTTATTTTTCTTTTTCTTAAATTTAATTGATATTTTAATGAAAGTTTATAGAGAAAGTGGATTTCCATTAATTCACTGTTGCCCAGTTTCCTCTCTAACCACCTCCGTAGTTTGCTTTTATCTTTGAGAGGGGAAAAATCTTTCATCATTGTAAAACTTGAACTCACCAAAGTCAAGTACTTGAAGAACTCAACTCATAAATATAGAGTACATTTGAATAAAAGTTTTGTGTACCTAGAGTATCTTTTTTTACTAACCAGAACCTTTTAAAACAAGTTGAAACAGAAGAATCATATTGATTTCAGACATAAATTAACATGTTACTAATTATTTGTTATGCTTCATAAAGCTGGACAACATGTAAGGATGACAGAAGAATTGAGGTCTTCAAGTTGTAGTACTAGAGAAGAGTCTTGAACATATCATGGACCACCAAGAAAATAAATAGGTCTGTCTTGGGATGAAACCAGTTTCTCCTTGGAGGCTAGGATTTTGAAGCTCCATCTCACATACTTTGGGCATGTGGCCAGGAGGGACCTGTCCTTGGAGAAGGACATCATGCGTGAAATGGTGGATGGACAGCGAAAGAGAGGAGGACACTGGATGAGATGGATTGATACAGTGGCTGGGACAGTGGGGGTTAGTGTGTCGGAATTAGACCTGCTCAGAGCAGAGGAGGGTTCAGAGCTGCTGTGCATAAAGTGATAGGGGTTACAAACAACAGCACATAAAAGTCACTAGATAATATTCCAAGCTTAAGAAAAGTAAGTGAAATGGTACATTAGGACTTGATAGTAGAATATTCCCACTGTGCTCAGTGCTGTCTCTTTGAAAGTGAAATTATCATGAACAAAAAAATGAGGTTCATTTTGTAAATAAATATCAGTTTTATATCATTGAAACAAAATACAGCACTTTCTCGAGTAAATGTGAAACATCTTGTGGACAGGCTACAGCTTGAGTTTGAAACTATAAGAAATAGAATTATTCCACATTCTGGATAGCCTTGTGTCATTTCTCTCACTTTCAAAAAGAAGTAGTCTGCTATAGCTTGCTTTTTCTTCCTCTTATGTATAAATAGGGAGCTTTGATGGCCAAGTGGCAAGAAGTTGTGTTGCAACCCTAAAGGCCTACAGTTTAAATCCACCAGCTGCCCCATGGCAGAAGAATGGATGATCTTTTCCTGTGCAATTAACTGCCTCTGAAAACCCACTGAAGGGTCAGCTATGGGTTGGTTCTGACTTCATGGCACACAACAACACAATATATAAATAAACATAAAATGTCAGTTGTTACAGTTCTCAGGAATCATGTTTCCCTTTGTCTTTAAATAACAGAA